GGTTTCGTTCATAAAAAATAATAAAATAGTAAATAAACTATTTTATTTAAAGCCAACGTTTCGACCCGGTTTCTCAGGTCTTCTTCAGGGGGTTATAACACTTAGTTTCAACCGAAACTCCATACTGCAAATAACCTCCTGAAGAATACCTGCAAAGTCGGGATCGAAACGTTGACTTTAAATAAAATAGTTTTTTACTATTTTAGTATTTTTATGACCGCCATTCCGCACGCATCATCTTCTGACTCAATTCTGTATTTCAAATTACCGTTTTATAGTATTTAGGTAGATATTTTTCTTTATTTTTTATTACATCGACATTTTATTAGCTTTAATTACCAAAATTAATAGACTAACATTATTGCGATTAGAGCTCTTAAATAATTACCAAAAAATAAGTTTATCAAGTTGCATAACTGTTGTGTGCTTTTTTTCAGAGGTTTTTTTACTTGACTTAATTATTAGTGACAGATTGTCAAATATCTCAATAAAGACTATTTAAGATTAAAAAAAAATTATATTTATCACGGGGATTGGCTGATTTGTATTATGATAACATAAGAACATTCATGCTACATTCTATCTTGCTAATAATTTTTTTTATTTCCAGAGAGATTTTTTTTTTCTTGTTTCCACTTATAAAAAATCTTCTTTTGTTCTGCATCAATTTAGTACAATCTACAATATCAACAATAGGTAGAAAACTTTTTTAATGCACTTGCACTTGAATAGATTTGCAGTAACCTTCATCCACCCGATGTGGAACATTTGTCGCAAACAATTTATCCACTTTTCCGAGTTCTTTGTGTTAACAGAATCTTTACTTTTTTAAAAAAATATTTACACAATTTATTTGTTTGGTTGTCTTTATATTGGACGTTTAATTTGTACGTGTTTTGTGATCACGTAGGCTACATTATCTGTTGTGTGAATAACTGTTGTGGAAATTCCCACCGATGACGCACAGTTCTTTGAAACTAATTTTTCTACGTTCCAATTTCGTTAAAATTAACCCTTCCTTTCTAAAATATAAATTAGCATATAACATTTATATCTGGATGTGTGTTGGTAATTTTAAATGCTTTGTCACAGTTTCTTTTTTGTTTCGTTTTTGAAACTTGTAATTTCGTCTATTTTCTTTCTTTAAAAAAAAAGTTTATTTGATAATAAATCGATATATATATATATATATATATATATTTTTTTTTTTTACAAGGCTTTAGATAGATACCATTAGCCAAAATTTATTATAGCTATGTATAATATCAGTGCACTCTTAGATAAAGAATTATTTTAAAAATTCAACTTGCTTGAAAAATTGACGTACTCAACTACTCTGTTGGCAATTGATGTAGATGGTATTAAGTGATGATGAAATGGGTAAGTGGTCTGTTAAGCTCTTTATATTGTTACTGCGTAGATATGTAGTTTATGCCAGTTATGTCTTCATTCTTCCACTAATTTATTGAAGGCATGTCATTGCTATTTTTGATAAAAATAAGTACACGACATATTTAATCGGAGAAAACATCAAAGTTCTTAGTGACGTCTGATAAGTCATCTCTTCTAAGTTCCATTTCAATGGTTATCGGATAACTTGCGTTACATAACTGAAACAACTATAGGAAATCATTATTTTTTTAAAAATAACAGTAACCATGTTTTAATAAATTGATCAAAATTCTGAAGCTTAATTTAACAAATAAAAATACTGAAGCTTTAATTTGCACAAGATGTCTTAATTCTTAATAAGCCAAAGTATCAATTGAGCCTTCCAGTTGACAAAATGACTAACTCCATTCTCAACATTTTTAAATTAAGTCATTTTAGTGTACAGATAGAAAAATTTATATCCGTACAGGCAATGAGTAAGGTGATTGCGGTGATTGAAGTATAGAACTGTGAATAAAGGTATAAATTTTCCCGCTAGAAATATCACTAAATTTAATAATAAAAATATTGTCATTAGATTTATTCATTCTTTCACCTAAAAGGATCAACTATTCGGTTAAACAGCTAGAAAAATATCTAATACAAATTTTTGGAAAGAATTAACATCTAACAATAACTCTGTGGTTAGTGATTGGGTAGCTCAATGATTAAATGTTTCGTCCTCTATTCTGTTTTCTGCTTAAATCCAAGAGATTCACATCCATGTTATATTTATATGGAATTTGTAAATTATAACTCTCCTAAACAAATAAAATTTATTTAATAAAAAAAGTATTTATACGATCTTCATTTTTTATACAAAATATGTAACAAATTTTACATTGGCTATTTATCACAAATGTTTTTTTATTTTAAAATAATGCCCCCCTTCTTCTGGTAATGGCCTTAAGGTCTGATAGTTAGTGAATGATAAAAAGAAGTAAGAAGTGAAGCTTTATTATTAAAAATAAAAAAAAATCTCGACCAACTACATTAATATATATATACTGTGTGTATGTCAATCTGTAAATTGACCTCTAAACGATCGTGTTTACTTCACTACTATACATGGAGTTATGCACAAAAAATAAACAAGAAATTAAAAGCTAGGATTGTAATATGTCATGTATAAAAATAATAGTATAGTAAGAGAGAAAAGGGTATTTCTTAATCTTCTTTTCTCAATCCTTTGTTCTATTTAAATTTCAGTAGCTACGTCTTGATAGTCTATCTGGTTTGTCTGCTTTATCTTCTTCTTTTTTGTTTACTATTTTCCGTTCTGATTCGGTCGTGTTTTTGTTCTTTTAAGGTTGGCCATATTCTAATATAATTCTTATCTACCTCGCTTTTGCTGAGTCACCTAATCAGATGATACGAGACCTTGAAAATTTTCTTTTAGAACATTTTATCATCATGCCTTCCTTATGTTTGCTGATTAGCATTTCATTCGTAGCGTTTATTCATCATCTTATTCCACATTAGTTTATTAAAAACAATTGTAAAATAAGAACATTAAATCACAGGCAGATTTCAGATGTGTGACAGGTGCATCAATTTCGACAATACCTGTTATAAATTACTAATACAAATATTATTCGGACAATCCACTCATACTCGCTCGCAGCATTCTATCAATTATAGCAAGTCCCAACTACCCTACCTTTTCCACTTCAAATGAAACCTTTTCCATCTCAAATGTAACCCTTTTTCAATTCAAATTTAACTCTTTTCTATAAAAATTATTAGATTGGTAAAAGAATGCATTTAATTTGGAAAGGGTTACATTCGAATTGAAAAGGTTGTAACCAAAGTCCTGATTTATACAGTAAAAAAACACAGAATATGCCATATAATATGCAGTAAAAAACCGTGAAATATGCAGTAAAAAAAAACATGAAAGATGCAGTAACTGGTCTCTATATATACTAAATTTACTAATTACTTCATAACTAATAAGGCAATAACGTATTTAAATATAATGACGTGCCTTCAAAAATTTTCTTAACAAAAAAAAAATTATTGGTATGAGAGGTTAAAAATTACAATTATTTCGTTTTTTTTTTTTTGTTTTTTTTCATATCTAAGCTAAAGAAAGAAAATAACTAAATACGGCTAATAAGGTCATAATATAAATATATACGTTATAATCGTAACGAGAGCGAAACATGAATCACATTAAACAATTAAAATATCAAAGTATATACAAACGAAAAAACAATAATTGTCTTAACGCTTTAAATTTTTGTATGTAACTGGATGAAAATCTAAGATGAGTCTTTGTTGAATCACTAAAATAATTAACAAATTTTAGAATAAATAGATCAAATATTTGAATTTTATAGACATTGGACAATACAATTGGGCTTTGTAGACGTGTCCAGTTTTAAAATTAATCGCCAGAATCATTGCTAAATTTGCTTCTGTGAAACCTAACCTTTTATAATTAGAAAATAATTCTTCTACACCAATTAGCTTATAGAGACAAATTTATATTCACTTAAAATTACCGGGTTGATGTCGATGCCGCTGGGAACAATTGAATCTTTGATATTTCAAATTTTATTAATGCCTTGCGGAATTGTGAGACCTGATTTTTTTTTAACAGAAATTTCTGACATTTTTTCAATTAAAGTTTCACCGACTTGGCCTGGTACCACTGGTTTCCATCAGTTGTAAAAACTACTTCATGTCTGTTGTTTTAAGGTTCGATCCAAGATTTCAACATTGATGAATAGTTTTGAACATCGATAGATACATTTGGCATTTTAAATGAACAGAAATATGATCTCTATCTAAGAACATAGGCAACAAACTAAAATAGAAATTTAGCATGATGTTTACATGGGACAAGAAAGGGAAATGGATTTATAGGAATTAGAGAACAAATATCAAAATATGCATTTATCTTCAAATAAACAAAATAAAATTTGGCCAATTTCTTCACAGTGTACTAATTCCTATAGATATTTGACCAGCAGTTAAAAAAAAAATAACGTAAACAAAATATAAAATTGCATAAAAATCCGGGCCTTGGTTATAACAATGGGCTTGGAAATGCTATAGATCATTCTACTCTACAAAAAGTAATCTTCCTATACTATCTTATCTTCCTACGTTTTCTGTACATCTTTTTTTTAAATTTATCGTATTTTGTTAATTTTTCTAACATTGAAATTTGTTTGTTGTCTGAATTTCTTAGTTTAACTCGTAAATTAATATTAATTAAATTTGTCTAATTAATTTGTTACAATTCATCTTTCCTTCTCCACGTTTATATTTAAGGAATAAGTTTCATCGGATCAAGTTTCTATTTCCTCCAACAATATTTAATACTTTTTGGGTGTTAACGAATTATATATTCTTATAATATATTTGTAATGGAACGTTTTCAAGTATCAATTAACATTGTTATTTGTAGATTTTTTTTTGTATGCATTAATTCAATACTATGTCAACTAGAATAGTGAAGTTCTTGCAACACACATGAATTCTCCATGTGCTTTAACACTTTCATGTGCTAGTGGCCCATGTTACAGGCTGTTGTAAACCGAAGGTTGTTATCCTTTGTCATGAAACCACTGGGACGTCCTTGTTGGAGTTACGGTAGGTAGGTCTAGGCCCTTCTGTAAGCTCTTGCTTACACAGCACCTGCAATCCCATCTTCCCCAATACAATGCTCTATTCAGCATTAGTGTATTTACTATGGGTTTCTCCTCCACAAACGGGAGGATGCCTCTATTGCTGATAATGAACTTCTCATCCTGTTGGATTTCGACTGCCTTGTCATCAATATACTTTTAGGCACTAAAATAGTAAGGTAGTTTTTTTCACTAAATTTACTTATCAGTAGTTTTGATGTTCCTGCAAAATTTGCATGTCAAATCGGTTACCTTATTTACTAGTTAGGATCCTTATCTTACATTACATAGTAGTTTTTATACGCCTTGAATTTATGTTAAAAATTCTTTAGCAATATCTTAATATTTAAAATTTACATTTAGTTGAAAATCACCTTGTGCTTCGGAAATTTTAAGTTATCTCACTCATCCTTATGCATTCCCAAATATTCTAATGCATTACTTCATCCATTTGACATTTTCAAATTTAGTCTGTTATTCTCATTTCTCTTTACTTTTCAATGTTTCGGATGTTGGCAGTCATGGTTTCTTTGATGAGTCAATTTTTGGTAAATATGTTTCCTGTCAAAATAAATAAGGAATGACTCGTCCATTGATTACCTCAAATATTTTCAAATGTTTCTGAATAGTTGTACGATTTGGACCAAGTCTGTATTTGAGCTTCGACCAAGAATAGTTATTGTCAACTTATGCATCCTGCATATTATCTTTCCTGTTTAGGTCTGTGTCAAGTTCAAAATTCATTTTTTCTTTTGTTTGATTCTTTATTTTATAGTTTTAGGTTGAGTAATATATTAAGTCTATACATTTTTTTTTTTTTAAATGTTTTAGTTTATAGATTTATCTAAAGAATAATTTTATCTAATATTAAAATAAAAGTCATGTTTTTTTTTTTCGTCAAACGAAATGGCGAAATCATAAACAGATTTATGTAAAAATTATTCAATTACGAACAAAATATTATAAGTTATTTAATTTTTTTCTGAAAGATGCAATAATGATTATTGGATGTTTTTAAATTTTGTCAGTGTATTGAAAACATGAAATAAATCGTTACTTGAGTTAAACATGTATACACACACACACACACATATATATATATATATATATATATATATATATATATATATATTATTAATTAGTTTTTTATACAGACCTGTGCGTTTATATTGGGAGTACTTTCATACTATTCATTCCAATCAGCTTTATTTTTTCATTTAATATATTAATAAAAAAAAAAATCTATAAGAATCGGCTGTTAAAGCTATAAATCGTCCATTTTTCCGTCCATCGTCCATAGTCCATGTTTTAACACCCGTATTATGTAAAACATAAAGTAAATAATTGGGCGTATCTAAGAATCACTTTTTATATAATTCGTTATTTTAATTTTAAAATTAATTTGGGTAGAATTTTAAGTCTATTTAAAACTAAAATGGGAGACCTAAAATCCATGAAGTTATTTTAAATATAAAGTACTCCACGGTAATTATTTCTATTGTGTATAAGATGCCATAGACATAGGATCCAAAACGGCCGTTTCAAAAAATAATTCATGCTATAAATATTAAATGAAATGTGGGAATTCAAATTTATTATAGAAAGAAATCGTTACCGAGAATCACTGGACTTGCACAACAATAAAGATGTCTGCCCGGTCTTGCGCGATCCAACCAGTTTTGGCTCCGCGTTCAAGTTATTTATATTTAAAACCTTCCTAGTAGTGTTAATTATCTTTGGTAGAAATAAAAACATATTTCTAACAAAAACATTTTTTTTTTTTAAATTAAAACGTTATTTTTCGGAAATTCGAAAAGAACTTGACGAAATTGAAACCTTCCCGGGACGTGTACGCGTGTCACTTGCTCACCTTGCCCCGCGGTTTCGCGCTGAACAGTTAGGGTTAGGGTCATTGCTCCCTGATTCTCTAGCCATTGAATTTGTCAATACCTCAACAAGTTACTAGTGCGTTTTATATTTGTTAAATATTTTTAATTTATTAATTCTAATGCATGATAGTTTCATTTAGTTTGCCTTTTACTGGGCATGCTATCGGTATCGATCTGTAAATAAATGTTCCTGACTGTTCCTCTGCTAATAACATTCAACTTATTAAAAGGACTTCTCTTAAACATAAAAGGTTTACCTAAATGTAAGAATAAATTTAAATACTACTTTTCACCAAAATTTACTTCTAACTTTCTAAAATATCGCCAACGTTATATCAGAACATATAGTTGATAGTTTGTATCCTTTTATTTTCTTTGTTATGATGATTACGCTTTGGCCATTTGTAGATAATTATTCAATCAATTAATATAAATTATTGAAATAAATTTATTAAAAATATAATTGAATCACAGAATATTTGATTTTCATTATACAAAAAGAAAATAAAAAAATAAATGTTATATGTTTTAATGTTACATACTAAATTAATTGACGGAAAACAAGATTTACATTTAACAAATGTTAGCTGATTTTCGTCTATATTACTTATTCCTTATTGATTTTACATAGAAGTAATTAAAATAGTTCATAATGAAGAATTTTCATTTCTGAACTGTCAAACTATTCATATTGTTAATACTATCATTCTAATCATAATATTTCATACTTAGAGATTATTCTAAGCATTAATAGTTTTTAATATCTTGTAATTTGCAAGAACAAGTAACATTATTATTTCTTAAAAGTTAATATTTACATTTCTTATTTTTATAAAAATAAAAAATATCCAAACATTTGTAATATTAAAAACTTACACTTAAATCTTATCAAAGATATTTGTGGTGTTGACAATTGTCATTGGTGTTATTTTCAATATTATTTTAATTGAATGAACATTTATATTTGTTTTTCTTTTCTAGACGTGCCCACCTCAGAAATTGTCTTGAAAAGTTAAAAGAAATGGTACCTCTTGGCCATGATACTTCAAGACACACCACTCTTGGTCTCTTAACCAAAGCGAAACGGTTTATTAAGGTAATTTAAGCATACATTTACAATTAATACAGTATTGTTTAATTACATAAACTACTCTGTCATTTTCAGCTGATGTAATGATTGTGTGTAGATAATTAATATTAGGTATTTCACCTGTGTCTTATTTAGCACACTTCTTTTATTTATACTTTAATAGGTAAATAGGCAATTAAGTTGCTATAAAAAGTAACATTTTGGGAAAAATTGAATGATTTCTCCAGATAAAATGATAAGTTTTTATGATTTACTCCATTCATTCACATACATTCAATAATTGAGTCAGAACTGTGTTAATAAAGGTTTCAAGTTTACTAGAGCATAAAAGTTGATTTAACCACGAAAATTTAATTCCCATATTTGACCCAAAAACTTTGCTATTTAATCCAATGTTAAGTATTCTGTGGGGACTAACAATTTTTGAATCTCTATCAGCAATATATTTTTGTATCACTACTACCAATGGAAGGTCATATGATTTCAGTGCTGTGTAAGAAATTATTATATCTTTGTAAATTTATTATTTAATTAAGATTATCAACTTAAAAAAAGATTGAGTGTGTCCAATTAGGATCTCTTGATCCCAGGATCAATCCACAGCTGATGTAACAGAATAATTAATTATCTCCTATACCCGAAACATAGGAATACTATACCTTATCCATTGTACTACTTCACTACCATTTATGCTGCTTTATGTCTGAAATTCCTAATTGGAATGCTTTTATGATTTCTGCAATATAAAGCATATAAAGTGTGTGTGTGTGTGTGGGTGTGTGCATGTGTGTGCGTGCGTGTGTGTTTTTTTTAATAGTTTTTAAATTAAATAAGATTTTATACCAATATAATTTAGTTAATTTAAATTTTTAAAAATAATAGTCATACATTTATATATATATATATATATATATATATATATATATATATATATATATATATATATATATATATATATATATATTTGAATGGAATAATGTTTTGTTTAGTTGACCTATTTTTAAGAGGGTGTTTGTTAGCCTTCCTCACTGTGACACATGTTTAGATAATTGCATATGCACCCAATATTCAGGTCAGTAACCTGTAGAAGTGAAAGCCTAAATCAAACAATACTATCTTGATGCTTAACTGGCTGAGTGTGTTGACTTGTTTCTTTCTTCTTTAGGAATGGTGTTGAAAATAACTGTAAAATTTCTCTTATCCACAAATTTATTTTTCTCATCCACAAAGAGAGATTTTTCACCATGTGTTTTTATTGTTTATTCATTTTTAAATGTGTAAGCCCTGATGACTTTTAAAACAATGGTGTTTTTTTTTCTGATCTTATGTAAGTTTTGAAAACTAATCTTAGTTCTTATTAATTAGAGGAATAGATTGGAAACTAGTTAAATGTTTCTTAATGCATAAGCATAAAGAATCCTAAATAACTGCAAAATTATGGGTATATCTATTAAGAGTTTTTAAAAAAATTCTACTACTCTCCCGAAAAATTATTGTTATCTATTTTTCCCCAACCTCCTATTTAACTCGGACACAAGCATATATTTTTAGGAAGTTAGTAGGAATAGCAAGTGATAACTACAGAGATATTTACTTAAAGTTATTAACAATTGCTACACTATAAACTTTATAGAGTTTTCATTGTTAACACCATTTAAAGAAGAGGGCTTTTGATTGGCTAAACTCTAAGTTAAGTTCTGTTTTAAAAAAAATCAAAAATTATTCGTTTTTTTTTTTTATACCTCATCCAACTATACTACAGATACCCCACTTTTAAAAAAACTTCCTGGTTGAAAATCTGTGTAATCTCCATATTAATGTTGAGGTTATTAAAGAAAAACATGAGATTCACCTCATGTTGTTTAAAAAAATTAAGTTATTTTTTATCATGTCACGTAATTATCCGAGTTTTCAGAAACAATTAACTTTTGCATTTTTTTTTCCATTATCTGGAATGTATTATATAAAAAATATTTGCCTGAATACAGTTTTTTAGTTATATAAAAACATTTCTTAAATAATGGTTTTTCATGAAAAATGGATATGAAACTGTAATTTTTTTTCATAGATATCGCCATTATAGAAATTTCTCCGTGTTCATAAGTCATGAAATAAATGTTTCTAGTCATAAAATTTATGTTTAAAGTTAAACCTAATAATATTCCTGTTTAGTTTTTTTAATTTATTGGCAGATATATTTTGTAGTAATCTTCATAGATATTCAGTTTTATTATTTTAATAAATAAGATAATAATACATTTTCTTTCCAGAAAAAAATTGTTCAATTAATATTTTTTAATCAAAGATGACTTCAGCTATCCAATGTTTTATAACTTATCCTGTCCTGTATTAATCTTGACAGCTTGAGATAGTTAAATAATTTTTGAATTTGTGCCTTAAACTTTCCTTTTGTTTCTTAAAATACTTTGCTGAAGTTTATTTCATTGATAATTATAATGAAATTCATTATTGAAATCATTCTTATTGTTAATTTTGGTCAATAAATTGGTTTTCTCTTAATTAAAGTTTGCATAACAAAATAATTTAGTTATTTTCTTTTAATCAATTATTTTTCATTATCGTAAATTAATCTGCTCCTTATCATTCATTATTGGGTTAGTAACCGTCATTTCCACTTTTAATTTCAGTATATTTTATGTTATAGTATTTAAACAATATGAAAAATTGATCACTATGTTTTGAAATTGCGCTTTACATGCCCCAGTCTTCTCCTGAACAACTCACCCATCTTATTCCATACTTCCGTTGAAAACCTGCATGTTACTTTTGATCAAATCCTCTCCTGAAAACCACATATCTCCCAAATTTCCCGTTGTACTATCTCTCCCCTGAAACAGTTTAATCATCTACGCTTTCTCCTTTCATATAAGTCCTGTCAATTCGTGTTTAGTATCCTCTCGTGTTTTTCCCCTCTTCGACTATGGCTGTATGGTGTATATTGGACTCTTGGGAGATTTCAAAGCCAAACTAAAATGCCTAATGAATATTGCAATACGTTTTGTTTTTAAAATCTCAAGAAATACTCATATTACACAGTATTACATCGAGTTGAAGTGACTCTATTCATCCTATCGCTGTCTATACTTCCTAGCTACCTTTCTGTACCAGGTCATTAGAACTGAGGGACCCCCCTATATGTTTCATAGCTTATAATTTAAATAGTCCATTCAATCCCATCCCGTCAGATTTAGATCTTGTACTTCCGACTTCTATCCTCCTCACCAAACTGCTGCTTTTGACAAATCATTTATAATTCAAGCTGTTTCCCTCTGGAATTCTATCTCTTTTGATATTCAACATACACAATCAGTTTCCTCTTTCAAACCTCTCCTCTTTAAACAATTACTCCTTTCCCTATCTGACGGCCTATGAAATGCACCTTACAGAACTATTTAAGTACTCCCAGAGACTATCTATGTTATTTTAGTTTCCTATGTTTGTTTATATATATATATGTAAGCATTTCTTTTCTCTGTCTTTCTTTCTGTATTTCTACTTTTAATTAACTATTATTGAATACATTTAATTTATTTATAACCACACAGTCCTGCATTCTGTACTTCTAATTTGTTCTAAGGGGACAACAGTCCCAGAATAATAAATTATATTTTCATTTCACTTACACGTATTAATCAACATTAAATATTTTTTGTTGAATTTGAAGATTTAACATTGTTGTTAAAGTTTCTCCATTTTATTGCAGAGCTTGGAGCAGCAAGAACGGCGAGCAGCTGTTCAGAAGGAACACCTTCAACGGGAACATAGGTTTTTACGAAGGCGGTTTGACTCGCTGTATGGTGCATCGAAGCGGAGATCTGTCTCAGAATCTTCAGTGTCGACTGTGTCAAGCACCCACTCCTCCTTCAGCACAGTCTCCTCCTTTCCTCCGTTTTCGTCCCCTTCATCAATTTCTGAATCAGGTATTTTGACTCAGTATTATTTGGATTTGTTCTTATGCTGTTAGGATAGAATAATTAACATATTCTATGAAATTGTGGAATGTGAAAAATTGGTGGAAAAGTTGGGATTTCACAATTAAGTTTGCAAAAGTTGGGAAAGTAATCATTGCTTCTAAACAATATAATTGCTTCTAAGAAATTTTTAATGTGATCTGGTCTATATGCTTCATCTTTTACGTATATGGGAGAACAGTATTTCAGTGTGATAGATAAGAATATTTTCTTTACATTTATTGAAATAATTTTTTTCACTTAATTTGTTCTGATTATTTTTTTACTTTCAATTATGTCTTAATGATCTCATTTCTTTAGGTTGATCTGAAAGCAACTTTTTATTTATTTTCTTAATTCTTATTTCAGCACAATTTAAAAGTTTTAAGGGATGTTATTTCCTTCCTCTTTATTGTAACAATATAAATTTCTTGTATTTGTCTTTAACTATAGCCTTATATATATATTTTTTTTTTAAGCCTCGAATTTCTATATTATACAGTTTTACATGTGGTTGTCTTCTTCTAAGTATATGTAAAGTGTAAAAGTAGCTAAGAGCTAAGATTTTCATATATGATTACAATTGATTTAGTCCCCATTTAATTGGAATTTCAAATTTCAATTATTAAAATTAGTACAATTTTTATTATTATTTTCTTTAAAGAAAAAATGTTATTTATCCTTAATCCATGATTTATTGTCTCCTAGTACTTATGTATCTAACAGAATTTTTAAACGTTGTATTGTTCTCCCATTTTCATTTATGGTTGGGTATATAACAAATCAGATCGGCTGCTATTTTTAAACAATAATTATTGATGGTAATATGAAGTTTCTAAGATCACCGTGGGGTTTATTATAACTGTAGCACCAAATCTGAAAATTGGACCAGTAGCCTCAGCAGACTGATTTTATTTTTATTATACGTATTTATTTTAAAAAATAATAACAAATTTTGATTGGGCTAAAAGAATTTCTCAGTAAATTACAGAGGCTCAATGAAATTAAAACTACAGGCACAAGACATGTGTTAGACAAGAGTTGGTGGTTAGAGCAATATGGAGAGAACGTGAGTGTTGCCTAGAATCTTCCATTTTTTCATGAGTAGTATTGTTTATCTTCAGTATTCTAGAATTGTCATGAAACAAAAAAAAATTAATTTTAATTCAAGAATTTATAGCAGGTTTCACTCGATTTGAAAGTTTAAGTTGATAGTATTATTTAACATTTATGGTTTGCCACTCTTGAAGAAAGAGAAGCAGTACCAGTCCAAACTATGTCCAGTTTTCCTCTATAGAATTATGTTAATTTAAATTCTATTTATTTACGAATCTCGATGCCTTTTTTGTAAATTCTATCAGTTGTGAGTGTCTAGAGACTGAAACTTTGCTAAATTCTCAAATGCTTTTAGGAACGTGAGTGTTGCCTAGAATCTTCCATTTTTTCATGAGTAGTATTGTTTATCTTCATTATTCTAGAATTGTCATGAAACAAAAAAAATTAATTTTAATTCAAGGATTTATAGCAGGTTTCACTCGATTTGAAAGTTTAAGTTGATAGTATTATTTAACATTTAAGGTTTGCCACTCTTGAAGAAAGTGAAGCAGTACCAGTCCAAACTATGTCCAGTTTTCCTCTATAGAATTATGTTAATTTAAATTCTATTTATTTACAAATCTCGATGCCTTTTTTGTAAATTCTATCAGTTGTGAGTGTCAAGAGACTGAAACTTTGCTAAATTCAAGATGTTTTTAAAGTATTATGAGTCCAATATTTTCCTGATACCAAAACAATAGTTAGTTATTTGGGACAACAGTTCCTTTCCTTTATTAAGAAATTTGATTTTCATCCATTGAGAAATATAATTAAAGTAATTGTCCGTTCGCTTTTCTTCTTTTCTCTTGATAAACATGTACATGAAAACTCATTTTCTTTTATCTAATTAGTATTCTTAGAATATTTGTTCTTTGTTGATTGCTTAGCAATATCATTGGTACTTCTAGGTTTCATGATAATTTTTTTAAGTTATCATAGTTTTTTAAGGACTAAAGTTTTTAAAAATATTGTTTTTTTAATCAAAATGAAACCTAAGAAATTTTGACTCCTAAGTAGCTTATTATAAAGCGAAAAATTCACCTTATTAATAAATTTGGATATTTAAGGTTCATTAGAAAAAAGCGTGATCAGGGAGGTTGGAGAGAGATGAATTTTATAATTCAGAAATTATATATTCATGAATTAAAAGTTATATTCAAAAATTATAAAATGTATATAGGTATGTTGAAAGTAATTATGTGATTACAAAAATTGGTATAGTTATTTTTTTTAATTTATGAACGAAAACTAATTAGCTACACAATCTTTTTAAAATGATTTGTATAAAAATGAAATCCACCAAAAATGTAAAGTTGCTGGTTAATAGGGTTATAAGTGGTAGTTCTTCAGCATTATTGATTTTTCCACCTATATTTGGATGGACAGCTTTTATTAACCTTTTAGTTTTCAATCGATTTTTAAATGTTTTTGTCAATTTATAGCTTTATTAGAAGTTCCGATCTTATCAAATTGACAGAACACTGGCTGGAAATATCTTTCTGCTTCTTGTTTATAGAATACTGCCTTAGAGCAATGCCTCCAATAATAATATAATAAAGATCAATTTTTTTTATCAAATGATTTAAATACCAGGATCCCTCCTCCCATCCCCCTCTCCAGGAAATGCAATACAGAGATAGGCCTGGCTAGTTAAAAGTTATTATGCTTTAGTAACATAGCAAAAGATGCTTTCTAACATTTTTTCAAAATTGAAATTTAAGTTACCTTAATTATATTGTCTGATTACTTTGGAGACCATAAAAGAAAAAAAAAAGATCCATAAAGCAGAGCTTAAAAGATTTTAAAGCCAAGAGGATTATCTAATTTCAAAAGTAGTCCGTTTTTAAAGGTTGCAATTTAAAGTTGATCTTCAATGAGGGCAGCAATGTGGGCTTACTATATAAACAAATCTTCAAATATCCTAGTTTTATCTGTGTTCATTTCCATAGGGATTTAAATTTACTTTTTAAAAAATCACTTAAAATACAATGTAATCTTTTTTTCTTCTTTTTTTTTCAGATGAAGTTGATGTTATAGGCTATACAAGTAACCAGAGTGATAGTGATGACCACGGGTCTGTGCAATCAATGTCTAGTGACTCAGGAGTTGCCATGTCGACGAGCCGCCTCTCCCTCGCCGAAGTCCACCGTTCCATCTAGAGCTGAAAGTGACACCGTATCAGATCAATTTATTAACCTCCTTTTATCTCTCACACTTTCTCTCTCTCTTTCTTTTCCTCCCCTTAGAGCAGCAAAGCTATCTTTTATCAACCACAACTGTTTCTACCTAGTAGATTGGTTTTAGAACTATGTGTTAACTAAATATTCAACGTCGACAACTGTCTGACTCTAAGAAAAGTATGCAATATGTATGTGTATTAGTATATACATATGTATATATTATTTAGACTCATAATATAAGTACTCACACGTCAGTGAATTTAAAGAAGTGTATTTATATTATCATTAATGATACATACGTATGTATATGTAATATACATTTATATATATATATCATTATTTGTCTTCTAATTATATTTTGTTTTTAATATATCTATATATTTGTTAATATTAATTTATTAAATTTTTATAGAGAATTCCTAAAACTTATCAGTGTTAGAGGAGATGTATCTATGTTTTGTTTAATTTTGAAAGAATATATGTTGATAAAAATTTATGTATATAAACTTAAACTAGTCATAAATCTTTATTCTTTCAATTGAAAATATATTCAGAGTCAAATCTTTTGTTATTTTAAAAGATGTTATTATAAACTTTTATAAATATATTATTCTTTGTTTATTATTAGCTTTAAAAAAGCTATTCTGATTACCATAATCCTCTATACATCTGTCAGCTATAATTAGCCACATTCATAATCATGTTACTTAAATTTGATGATACAATTCAATATTTTCATCATACAATCTACCTTTATTTGGTTCATATGAAGGATTTTAACATTCCATACATATATGTTAGTTCCTTGGGCTTTTTAAGTTATGTCTCTCCTGATTTGTTATAAATCAAAATGACTTATTCAGATAATTTAGCCATTAACATGTGTTACCTTTCAAAGTATTTCTTCTTAATTATATTTCTTTTAAAGAACTTTCCAAGAGAACTAAATTTAATGACTTACTGATTTCTTGTATATATAAATTGTACCTGGATTTCTTTCTTTGAAATTTGTTCAAAGAATTATATTTTCTCATTATGTTAAATTAAGATAAGTTTGTCTTATGTGTATATTTTTTCATCTTTTTTTTTCCTATTTTATGTATAGAAAAAGAGGTTTTTAATATTTTTTTTTTAAAATATATTTCGAGAGTTTTAACTCGAAGTAAAGCATAAATATTATTTTGGAAATCACATATATTTCTGTTTCTTAGAGTCAGTAGAAGAGGTTGGAATGGTATATAGTAATAAACAAAGACTAAAGCATAACTATGCAGTATTAAAATATTTGTGTGATGTATAAGAAAGAGGGAGTGACAGTGAAAAGAAGCAAAAGGAAACCGAAAAATTCTTTGTATTTTAAAATAAAACCCGAGAAAATACTTTTCAATTATATCTCTCTTTCTTTATACGTGATGCATTTAGCCTTCATCGCTCATGGAATGTAATTACTTGTTGATATATATACAAATATGTCTTAAGTTTTATATTTTTTAAGAGGTTAGCAGATTTCGGTAGCGGTGTGCCAATAGGCGTTTGTGTATTACAGTTTGTAAAGATGACAATTCTTGAAAGGCCATCTTAAGGCTTGATCTCAGTACCTAAGTCGGGCACAAGGAAAATTGTAAATATTCCAACTAAGCCACTCAACACAAGTCTGAAAGTTATGTTTAAATTAGGGTGAGGCTTGTTGAGCTTAATGGGTAAAACTGTGTGTATCATTTCAGCCTCTTTATGCGTGTAGTCATTCTTTCCTTTTCATATACCATTTATTAATTGCTAGCAACTGTTTCACCAAGGCACAATAATAATTGAAGGTACAAAATACATAGAATAATAGCAATGACATTAAAGGTTGGTTTGGGTGATTATATTTTTATTCTAACAGTTCAATGCGATTAATGAGATGCATATCTATTTGTTCCCATTTTTCTTATTAAAACAAATTAGAAAATAAAACTACCATCAATTTTTAATAAAGCCATGATCATTTCATGTTAATTAGTGCATCCTGTTGGTCATCCGCCTAACATCCAGTAGCAATAATCTTGCTGTTCATCCCCTTAAATAAAAAATAAGTAAATATATAAAAAAAATTTATTCGCTCTCATATATAAACCACGGTCATCTTAGCTATAAATGAAAATCACAGTGGGTTGATAGAGATCTTAGTAAATTTAATTAATAATTTCAAATTTATCACTAATTATATTAATACAGTTTTACAAATATTGACAAATTTTAAAATTGTCTTTAAATACTGCCACTGTTAAAATTAACGAAAAATATTTATTGTTTTACTCGAATAGTGATCTAAAATTTTTTATTGCGGAATTAAGAAATTTTCGACGAATTTATAAATTTAATGTTAATCTGTGTATGTAGTTATGTTCATTTATACATATTTGTATAATTGGGTGTCTTTTTTCCCAATTATGTAGTTCTGTGTATTATCAGTGTCATGCGTTGTTTTTATAGCTTAAGAATATAAGTCTGTTGTATAATGTTTACACCGCTGGTTTATATAGCTTTTTACAGCAATATCTTTTGTCGTATATGATTGTGGAATAAGAATGCTAATTTCAATTTTTCAAAAAATACAATGTAGCTGTTTAATAAAAGTTTAATTTTCTTAGCTTTAATCAACCAAGAAGCAAGGCTAGCCTCACAAAAATGGTCAAATACTCACATTTCCTTCTTCTTTTTTTTTTTTTTTTTCTTGAGTATATCTTCGGCTGTTTTTAATTTATAAATTTGTAGGATTTATACGTGAATGTGAATATTCGAATGCTGATACTTTAATATATATTATAATTATATATAGTATACATTGTAATATATAAATATATATGCATAAGATTTATTTAAAAAATATTTTTTTTTTAATAAAAGAACTATTTTGGTTCGTATTAAGTCGAGATAAAAGTTATTTTTTCAGTGACTGAAATAGAGTACGGTGTAGTTAAGTTGAATAGTATAACCACATGTAAATTATATTTATTTACTAGCTTGTAACAGCGGTAAACGCATCAGTATAATGTAAGACATCACACATATGTGATAGCCAATGTTGGTGGCTTGGTCCACTTCGCGTCCAATTGTATGTGCGATTTATTTATAAATTTAAAATTTTAAAAAGTAATCTATGATTCAAAATTTATATTTATGTTAACTATGTTGTACGTACTAAAGTTGCTTTTTGTCCCTTCACTTTAATTACCAAATTTCATCTAGGGGGAAAGAAATTAAACTGGAATAATTCTATAAAATTTAATGTAATTTGATGTTTGTCAATGTTATATATATTGTAATATTATGTTATGATCTTATCGAACATTACTAATTTAGTATGTACTAACTTTAGTTGTATAATTGAGCATTTAATATTTGTACCATGGTACAGAAATTAAAATCTCAGTGTTATATATATTGTATATAAATATATAAATACATATATATATATATATATATATATATATATATATATATATATATATATATATATATATATATATATATATAAAGTTCTCATTGAAAAAAAGAAAATTAAATAAAGAAAAAAATAAAACTATGTGGTCATTATTCTTACAGTAACCATAGTCATTAATCGGGCATTCGTCTTTGTTTAGTTTAAGCGAGCATTATGCTTCTTTTTTTTTTCTTTTTTATTTTCTCTTTTTTTTTATAGCACTTTGATATTTGGCAATTCTTTCATCCACCCTTTTTTGTTGGTGGCCATTGTACAAGTGAATTGAAGACTTTACTAAGTATTAAATTGTATATTCTAATTATTTTATCATATAATTTTGTTATTTCATGAAAGAAAATTGGATTTTTAAATAGGTTTCGTGCAATTCCTACAGTTTGATTGTCCATTGTCTTTGCAATATTCCATGACATAGACACTAAATAAATATTTAATTTGTACATCTGTAACTAATTATACTACCACTTTTACTTTAAGATTTTGAAAAATATATGTGTATTGTTGAGAAATATAAAAAAAAAATTCTTTTTTTTCTATGAGTTTCATAGAATACATTAATGTAATACTGTTAAGGCAATATTTGTTGTATTTAGACTAAGAATATAACAAACACCATCTATTTTTTATGAATTTTGCACAAATTATTTATTGATTTAATTTTATTGTTCATATATACAGGGAGGGGAATAGTTATTTTGTTTCAGTTAAAACCTGTTCTAAATTATGAAAAAAAAATTATGTCAATTTGTTTTGTTTTTAATATTCATCTTCATTAGTCTTCTGTTATTCTGTGTATGTAGATATAGGTGTATGATGAGTACATTATTATGTAGTATAAATTTGAGTGTATGTGGTGATCCTCCCCTTGTATATAACTGGTCAACCCATTCCAAAATGTATAAAATTAAAGAAAAAAATAAATATATATTACATAAAATGTTAAAAACCTAAATTTATGTTGTTATTGTTATATTGTTTCCTTTTCTTCCTATTTGTAAATTTAGATTTGGCAATCTTAATTTTTATCTATATTGTACTAAAATGAATAGAGATTTGATTCATTTTAATTAAAATAATATATTTTTTTGTTAGTTAGGGATTCACCTATTAGTCGATAAAGATAAAAAGTAAATACTACATATCCTTTATTATTAATAAATTATTAACTAAAGGATAGTTATGATGAAGAATACTCTTTGTATAAACTAGCCATTGTTTTTGACTTTTGAAAAACATCATATTGAACCAGAAATTCACAATATTATCGTGAAAATGATTGTTCAAGGGCATCAGTAAGTGGATATCATTGTTGCAGTAGGCGTCTCCCAGGTTTTAAACAAGATTCAGTGAAACCGGGAGTACCAATAGGAGACTTTATAGATTTCCGTGCATTACGACAGGAAGGAATGATTTAAATGTTATTACTGCAAGAAGTAACCCTTTTCATAGTGCCAGACAGAGCCTAAATGAAGGTTATAATGTTCTGCCAAGGCCCATATTAACTCAAACCATTCATAATCGTTTGGGAGAAGTTGATCTAATTCCTTTAAGATAATCTGCAGCAACAGTTTTTCACCAGCAATATTATGGTATAGCAAGCGTCTTGGTGAGGATACAAATTGGAATGCTGTTAACAGGCAAGTCGCGTTTCTGTATTTATAGAGGTTTTAGTCCCCAAAGAATCTTCAACTAGTTTACAGGTGAAAGTGTTATGGTATGGGATGCCATCTACTCAGGTGGACGGATTTACTCCATATTGTGAAAGTAACCTCATTGCAGTTCATTATGTCCTAGAAATTATAGAGGAGTACATTCCTCAAACCAGGGCCATAATTGACACAGATTTCCATTTTCATGACAATATGTGACCTCATAGATGAAAAGTTGTTCATCTATGTCTTGAAAGTTGGGACACTAAGCACTTGTGGGATGCACTACAGGGACTTTCAACCACCGCTGCAGCTTCTCAACCTTCAGCAAATGAGAGCAGTATTACCATGTTTATGGTATCAAATTCCTAGTGAAATAAGTTGGCAACATTATAAATAGTATGCCCAATAGGTACAAAGAGGTAGTGGGTAACAGAAAACATTAAACAAATTATTAAATTTGACAAAATTCTTACAATTGGTATTCATAAAAACAAAATCACAAACACTTAATTTTATTATTTTTTTATAATACCGTTTATAAAATTTCTCAAGGTCAAATACACTTTTTTTTTTCGTTCTTGCCTTTTAGGCTATAAGGGGGTTTTCCCTGGCCAGGAGGTGAAGGCAGGGATGAATGCCGGAGTTAAAAGCCCCACTGGCACATAGATACGAGCTCCTATCTATTTTATCAGGTTGAACGGTAACGAGCCTTGCTGTGCAGGCGTTAGCCCGCTCGGGCAATCCCTCTCCCTATGGTCAAATACAATTTAAATAGCTTCCTGGTCCCATTTCTAACATTTAATTTGGAATTCATTATTACACAGTCAATTCATTCTGAACTGGTCTTCATTTCTTTCTTTAGTCTCTCTAATATATCTACATTTTTCTTCATGAGATGGTAAGATTTTTACCAGTTTTTTCTTTGTTTTCTCTAACTTTTGAAAGGTAATAAATCTGTATAGAATTTTTCGAACTTTTTTTTTGGAACACACAACTTACTTGGAATATCAGTATCTTTTGCAGCATGAAATCAATGATTAGTATCATTAATCTATGATAGAATTTTTTTTTCAAAAGCAGGTATGTAATACATGGTTAAACAGCATCCAGTTTTCCAAAATAAACTGTATGCCATGAATTGTACAGAGATATAGTAATTCTATTGTGATTATTTCTTTTCAATAATTGGAAAATCTAGTTTTCTAACAAATTTTCTTTCTTATGTACTATTTTACAATACTACATCTACAATAATACATCTATGCACAAAATTTTTGTTGTTAAAGTTTGGGCCGTGAACATGGTATGTTTTAAACATACCAAGATGTATTTAAGATAGGTACATGTCTATGCACAAATGCATACATCTATGCACAAAATTTTTGTTGTTAAAGTTTGGGCCGTGAACATGGTATGTTTTAAACATACCAAGATGTATTTAAGATAGGTACATGTCTTAGATATTTACATTACATTACATAGATGTTATAGATATGTAATAGATATTATAGCAACTTTTCCCTTAAAATCGGCTAATCGGAAATGCAACTGTGAAACACATTTTTACGATTTTCTCAAAAACTGCTCTCAAGAACTTGATTAGGCCTAATGCCCTATGTTCATATATGTCTTCCTATAAACTACCTTTAATATGGTTTGTTAAAAAAAATTAACTCTCTTTTATTGACAGTAACTATAAAAAATGGCTAAATATGATGTTTGAAAGAATATTATAATTGGAAACTGGAGAAAAAAAGAAAAATGCTTATCCAGGTTGAAAATGAATCACCGAAAATAGCATTCAGAAGGTATACGTGTAATATTGGAAGCGGAGAATTTTAGTAAAAAAATGTCAAATAGAGAAAGTTGTAGAAGGTAGCGGAAAGTGAAGAAAAAATATAAATAATAATTTCAGAAAACCAACATTATCTAACGTAACGTAAATCACATGTTTCCAAAAAAATTTCTTACTAAATGTAAACATTTAAATTTTGGTATTCGGATCGTTGGAAGCGGAGAATTTTAGTAAAAAAAGTCAAATAAATAAAGTTGTAGAAGGTAGCGGAAAGTGAAGAAAAAATAGAAATAATAATTTCAGAAAACCAACATTATCTAACGTAAATCACATGTTTCCAAAAAATGTTCTTACTAAATGTAAACGTTTAGATTTTTGTATACGGATGGGAGCCGTATACATCCGTAAATAAATTGTTTGAACCGCTGTAAATTTTCCACATTTACGAACTGTTCACTATTATAAATGTCCTTGATGTGACAGAATGTAATATTTCTAAATAAACAAATAAATAGACTTATAGACGAACTGAAGAAATTCTTTTTCAGTGAGGACGTAATCTCATCCATCGTTGTCAGCCTTAGCGCCTAAAATGCTGTGCAGGTCGCGACTTTTTTTGATTTTTCCTCCTCTTCCTAACATTTTATGCTATACAGAGTTTTCCCGGGCCAGAGGACAAGGGTGGGAGATTAATACCTGGATTAAAATCCCAAAATATCACTCTTTTGCCCCTCCCCTCCTTAGAGGTTTAATGCCGTAATCTTGTTCTGTGGGTACCTCTGGTCAATAAGGTGATGTTGAAGACTTTACGACAGTTGTATACTCCTTTTCAATCATCAGGCATAATCGTAATTAAAAATTTATGGCACATCTCGATCAAATGTGAGAAAAAATATCACTGGAAGACAACATGTTGAGTAACTTTTGGTTCAATAATGGGAAACAATCAATCTAGATTTGATTAAAATCTTGGTCGTGAAGTCTACAGGCTATTATTTGAATGGGTTTTTCCTTAAGTTTTATGTTTGTTAAAATTATTATTGAAATTTATGTTTGAATTAAAAATATATAAATAATTCTAACTGTGCAATTGTTCCAGGATACCTTATATACCTTTTATTGTTTTATTTTTTAAAAATTAAGGTAGAACATTTTATATTTTTTTTTACTTGTAACTGAGTTGCAAAATGAATCGGATAACTGTGCTTCGTCCACATGCGCCGACTTGTCTGCCAGTTCAAGTCTTGCTCTCTGGCTCAGTTTTACTAAGAGTGTACCGTCTTCGAAATGGATTCAAAACTGCACAGTTTATCAGTCCACACGCAACGTAATCTTCAACGTTTTGAACTGCGCAGACAAAACGTGCAAAACGGAGGTCTGGACAGGCCTTAAGACATCCCCATTGTGGTCCTTAGATCTCTCAATTACACCCCTATAGTGGTGCTGTGATATACACCCCTGTCTCCTGGAGCATAATGAAGACCAATCTACAGGTCACCTTCCTACGCTTCTTCCAAGAAATGTTATTGCTCTCCTCATCTTAAACCGTGCAAGCAAAAGTAGAATGAGAAAAAGTGTAGATCTTACATTTACTGTTTCCTTCCTCAATCCCTGGTTTGAAAGTTTCTCTTAATTGAAACTCCTATTAAAATATAGTTCACTCAAATCATAACCTTTCTTAAATAAAACTTTCCTTTCTCTCGCTGCACATAAATTCAAAACCATCTAAAAATGTGCCTCATTCAAAAATATTGATGCAAGTTACAGGACTTCTGAGTTTCCTTGCTCAAAAAATAATTATCTTGTTTTAATCCGATTCGGAATTATTAGTCATTGTTTTTTAAATTTTGTATAAAGTTATAACAATTTCTTTAATCTACCCGAAACAAAACAATGGAGCTATAATTAGAGGGAATTAAATTATTAATTGTAAAATTATAGATAACATATGACTTAAGTTTTAAAAGCGGAAAATGAATTTTAAAAATAAAATTTTAATATAAGCGAATAGTGAAAATTTATATTGAATTTCAGAAATTACATAGGCTGTGGTGACCCCCCTCCCACCGTTTGTTCCTTGGCTTGTCAACTAATAAACTGCACTTCTAGACGTCTCGCCATTTTGCGATTTTGGTTAGACTTATCAAAGAAATCAAGGTATATCATTCTGTCTTATATTTATTTTCTTTGGTATTGAATGTTTTTTTTTGTGTTATTCCTTCCAAAATATAAATTAAATCATGATTAGAATTGAACATCAGAGTAGCCGGTTTTGACCATCTTTTATTGGAAATTGTGCCTTTACAAATATTTATTTGAAATTCTTTGTTACTTCCTATAACGTCTTCATTGTTTATATTAATTTTCAATTTGCATATGAAAGCCTCAACTTCTGTACTTGTACTTTCTTATTAAAGATACAATGCTTTCACTTATCATTTCCTACCATTTAGTTCGCCAAAAAGTCATTGCAGTCTCATTTTTTAAGACATGCAACATTGTATGGTTTTTAAAAGTTATAGAAGGCAAACAGAAAAAGTGTGACACGTTTATTAATCATATCTTTAAATTACATTAATGATGAATTTCTAAAAATGGTTCTTTTATAAAGATTCTTTTAGTATGATTGTTTTAATTCCAAGGGTCTAATTATAAGTTCTGAAATTTCATTGTATTGTGTAATATATTTTAAAATAACAACTGTTAGTTTATAAAAGTTAACAGAATAGGTATCACCATTTCCATGTTGGAATTGATTTATGATTCAAAAGCTTTATTAATTGTTAGGAATGCATAATTTTTTCTTGTATTATTGCTTAATTGAGATGTTTAGGTTTTAATCTGTCAATTTTTTGTTTAGGGTTAAGTATTGTAATAATATGTATTTTGACAACTTTTTTGTTTACTTGTCTTGTTAGTTTCATAACAAATAAGTTTGGTTCAATTTTTGTGTTTTTATGTTTTTGGCAGCTTTCATTGTCATTGTCTATTGATTTATCGTCTTGCAAAAAAATAATTCTAATTCAGTTCTTTGTCTTCAATCTATTCTTAGATTATTCCAGAGGCTCTTTCATTCCAGGAGTTGTTATCATTCCTGCTAAAGGTCAAAGAGTTATATTTTTAGTTTTAAGTTCAAAAATTATCCACAAGTTTAAGGTGAATGATTTCTTGGTGTCAATGCTACAAGTTCAACTAATTTTCATTTCATGCATCATGTTAAAATCAAAATGTGATTAAATGTCTAGGATCCATATTTTTTTCTCCACTTACATTTTAATCTACTTTCTTCAAGATATGTAGATGCTGGTTTCTATTGTAGGACAGAGTTATTATTTAGTCTCTGATTTTTGAATCATAACAAACCTGCAGCTTTACTTAATGCAAACAACCTTTAGACTTTGATAATAAAAATCTTACCTCTGTTTTGTTTTTCTGGCTTATTATCTTCTAACTGTTACATCTATGGTTTACATTTTTTAGGATTAATATTTGTAAAGAGATTAATATTATTGCAAAGCCATCATATCTAAATTATCACGTTTTATTTTTCCAGTAATCCAGGATACCTTATTCTAAATAGCAATTCAAAAATTCTTATTGTTATTTGTATGGTTTCTTATTGTTATTTCTTGCTTTATATTTGAGTTTCTCTAGCTTACACTAGAGAAATATAACATTTTCTAGTGCCCTTTTATAAGTAATGCTCCACTTTGATGAGTGGGCTTCGTCATTAATAGTATGATCATGAGATCTTGGGATTTCATGATCGTACTATAAATGGAATTCCGAAAGTGGTCAGTCATTGACTTGTAAGAGAGTATAACCTTCCTTTAGATCACAATTTTTGATTTATACCAACTTGGAATTGATACTTTTCATTTAAAATCAGAGCCTTAATTATCTTTAATTCCATCTCTGCTTTCGACTTCCACACATTCTAAAGGTGTAGTCAAACCCTCCAACAGGTCCTTCTCAGTTCAGGACAGGACCTTACCGGAGAGCCTTCTTTGTCACCTCTGTCTGCACTTGGCCATTCTCAGGATTCTTTTTGTTAAGATATTTTGTACTCGCCCATCAAAGTGGAGCAAAATTTGTAAAGTAGTAACCATTTTCTTAATGTTTTCGCTTGGTGCTAGAGCTTAGGTGAATATTTCTTGTCAAATATTTATGAAAGTCTTATCAATTGTTTTTTATCTGATATAGCCGCCATGGTTATACTAACTGCTCGGTCACATGACTCATTGTAATAGTCCAGTTAACTAGAATAGAATATATATTTATTTGTTTTGGGAACTGGCTCCATACAAATACAAATGGAGTGGATACAAACATTTTGATTATTACAATGTAATATTAATAAATTAATTGCCACTGCTAAAATCAAAGTACAAATGGAGTGGTACTCACATTGTAATTATTATAATATAACATTGTTAAATGAATTAATTGCACTTAAATCAAAGTATTCTTTTCATACTATATATATATATATATATATATATATATATATATATATATATATATATATATATATTTCATCTACACAAAATACATTACATTAATCAGCAAGAAGTACTACCCATCTAATAATATAATGTAACATAATACAATATAACTCTATAACCACAATATCACACCAAGCCACACAATGGGATATTAGAACTAATTATTACACCAACCACACTTTATGACACCACATGGTACTACAATTACTGGGTATCACTACTACAATGCAAATTGAAATATTCTACAAACAAACAATATATAAGAGAAAAAAATATCGATAAACTATAATTATCTATACATTATGGGTAATAGCTCTTAAATTGAGGCTATAAACAGTACAATAATGTTAACTAGATATCTGCTCTCTAGTTATTGTTTTTATAAATGATGTAAACATGGCAGAGGTCATTGAATTTAATGTGGGTAATAGTTCTAGCCTATAGGAATTATAAATGGGAAAGGTTATGAAAAAATGATATAAATCTTCCCTTTCATTCAAATTATACAACAAGCATAAACTTTCAGTTTTGAGTGTTGTATTTTTTTTATAACTCAACTTAATAAACTTTGTATTTGAAGTTTTTATTTGCGTTATAAGTTTTATAATTCTAAATGCGGCTGGAGATGTAAGGACGGTTTGAGTTTCTAAATCTGAATCAAAAAATAATCTGTAATTTTGGCAGTACGTAGAGGATTCCATGTTTTGGATATCTCCATGCTTTAACTTGCATACAACCCTTACCTGCCCAGTTATTGATCCATCACTCTGGTTACAAGAGATAATATCCTCAATATCATGTCTCCTGAAAAAGTGTCTCACCTGTGATATCCATTTAACTAAAAAGGTTGTTTTTAGTTTGTCTGCTTTCCAGGAACTTGTAAGCAGGCCTTTCTAGCATGGATCATAATTTTTCTTAGAATACTTTTGGATTCATGATTTGAATGGGGAAGAAATTCTGTCCATTTATGGGGTTTTCCCGGGCCAGAGGGTGTGGGCGGGGATTTAAAAGACGCCTTGGCACCGGGACGCGAACTCTTGACTATTTTTATATCATTTTTCATATATCAGGTTGCCTGGCAACAGTGGTGCTTTGCACACGCGTTAGCCGATTCGTCCACCCCATCCACAACTTTATCATTTCTTCAAAATAAAAAGTTTCATATTTGCTGTCATTTTTCAAATGGTAAGATGAATATATTCTTAACACGAAATCTGTGGTTACGGTCCCTGAGTTTCGATATTCATCTCGACTTCAGTCGAGGTTGTTTTGAATTCTCTAAAATGGTCATTTTAAAAAATATTTGAATAGAAGCTGTAAAGATGTAAAGATAGATACAATTTGAATAATCATTATACCTGGTATAAAGCTATAGGGGACTATATATATTCAATTTGGAGATGCCCTTGATTCGTGGAATAAGGTAATTTGTTAAATCATTCTTCCCATAAAGGAATCGATGAGCTATTGCTGAAATGGTAATAAATTCATTGAAAACTGCAATATACTTCTATCTGGTCCAATACTGCTTATTAAAGTGAATGATTTCTTGTTATACTTTTTAAAAACATTGAAATTTTCTATTTCCTATAGTATTTTACAATTTACAGAAGAAGGTCAAATTCAATGATATGGTTTTTGACATTATTGGTACTAGTATTGCGGTATACAAGAGTTCCACACGGATTACGCATGGTTCACAATCACTTCGGTCACACTTGTTCATGGAATCCCGAATGCCTTCGGGTTTATCCGACAGAGAACGAAGGCGGCCGATCTCTTGAATTAGTTACGATTAACTTTCCCGCCATTTAAGTACTTCTATAACCTTAACCATGTTCAGTTATATTAACGTTATTTAAGGTATTGATTTAAATTCGAAATTTAGACTACACATTATGAAACCTGAATCGAACATGCACATATATTATATATATGTGAAAAAGGAATATTAATAGATAAAAACATTTAATTATTACATCTCTGAATGCTATTTCACAATGTTTCTCTTATTTATGATTTCCATTATTCATTATCTCGGAATTATCAGATATTCTTCTTCAGTTCTTTCCTCAATACGTTAATTCCTTGCTCGAAAACACGGGCGGATCTACGGGGGAGGGGGGGCTTTCGGGCTGAAGCCCCCCCCCCAAAAATGGAAAAATATAACCATGTTTTATGGGGAAAAAAATTAAAAAAGACCTCTTAAAGTATTATTCTTCATGTAATTACATTTAATAGTACTTAAGAAATAACTTAAACACCATTTCATATAGGTAGTTAGTTTCTTTCTGTTTTTCCAAAGTAATTATCGTTATTTTTATAAAAAAAAAAAGGTTTCGGGCTCAAGCCCCTCCCCAAAATTAAATCCTGGATCCGCTAGTGCTCGAAAATAAACACGATTTTTTTATTTTATGAATGACTACAATAATCGCCATTCGGATTATTTATTATCCAAATGATAAAAAACTCTTTTATACAATTTATAATAGATAATATACAACAGTATATGCGTATTTATAGCCACTACATGTAAGCACGTGTCGATAAAAATTTTATTTCTAAAAGCATTTTTTTTTTACAGGCCTTGAAGAAAGAGTCAAACATTATTTTATATATGTTTTCTTTTTCTTTCACAGTAATGACCGTTATAATGCAAATTAATAATTAACTAATTAAATAAATACACAATTTCTTAATACATTTTTAATAAGGAAGTTCCACGAAGGGAATACGTTTTTTTTTCTTTCAAAAATGGATTAAGGAGGGACAATAGCTGACGTCATAAAAGACGACAACATTCGGCTGTTTTCGGGATTCCATGAACAAGTGTGATCGAAGTGATTGTGAACCTCGCGTAATCCGTGCGGAACTCTTGTGAACTAGTACCACATTATTATTTTAGAACATTTTGGGGCATATTTTGGGTTTCATTCACAAAGTTGTGTTTATATCAATTTCTTACTTCATTTACTATCTATCCTGATGAAATTTGGTACATTGACTAACATGATGAACCAATCACCACTCCTATCTCCGGTCGATGTGAGTTGGCCTATCATTCGTGGAGGGATAGAGAATAATGGTCAGGAGAATCAAAATAATTCAATCAGATAATCATAAGGCTTCTGCTAAACATAATACAAAAACTTTTTCCAAAATTAAAATACAGATATCATTTTACATTAAATCACCTAATCTATTGTGTATTTGTATTTATTTAATTTTGTATTAATTGCCTCTGTTACATTATCATTATTTCTTATAAAATAACAAATCTTTTGCTTTATTTTAGATGCCTAACATCAAGTTGCAGAGTTCTGATGGAGAAATATTTGAAGTGGATGTGGAAATTGCAAAATGTTCAGTAACCATAAAGACTATGTTGGAAGATCTAGGTATGAAATATAGATATTTCCTGAAACCCATTTTCATGTTAGATTATTTAGTCTCATACTATTTTATAAATTTTCTCTCCCTCCCCGTGCTTCAACCTTTTAACAATTTTACTTTTTTTATATTACACTCAAGCTTCAACTAACTTCACATACCAAGAATGTGCAAAATTAACATCACCTTTAAATTTTTTGATAATGTATATATTGTTAGTATATTTATTTTAAATTAAGATATATTTCTAGATATGTGATTTGTCATGTGGGGATAAAATCTACAAGTTATACTATTTTTACTTTCACTTGCCTGTATATGAAATATGTAGCAACGGAAAGTATTGCGATCGTGAAAATTTTCAAATCTCAGTTTTCAACAGAAATACACGTTTTGAGGTCCCCTGAGTCCAAATAACCAAGTCCTGCAAAATGGTCTGGTGTGAGCCTGTGTGAGTGAAGTCTAGCTCAAAAAAGTAAAGTCATACGAAAGTGAAATTCTATACTTAAGGTTTTTATATGCTACAAATGTTACAGCAACTGTTTTTTTCAAAATTGGCCAAGTGGAAATGGCAATTTATATCATGGACTAAACACATTTTTATGATTTTCTCGAAAATGACTCTCAACGATTTTGATAAAGTTCATTATATCAGTGTAAAATTAAGCAGTTTAAATAAAATGCTGTTTTTATTATGATTGGTGTTCTCTAACAGAGCTTAAATGATGAATTTCTTTCACTTACCTATGTACGAAATATATAGTAAGGGTAAGTATTCGAATCGTGAAAATTTACTAATCCTGAGTTTTCAACGGAAATACATGTTTTGAGGTCTTCTGAGTCCAAAAAACCAAGCCCTGCAAAATGGTCTGTGTGTCTGTTATCAATCTAGTTCAAAAACAAAAAGTCTTACGAAAGTGAGATTGCATATTTAAGGTTTGTGTATACCTCAGATGCACAGCGACTTTTGTCGAAATCGGCCAACCGGAAATTTGCAATTTATAGATTCGATTAAAGACATTTCTAATATTTTCTCTAAAACGGCTCTTAACGATTTTAATTAAACTCAGTGTTTGAAGTTATAATTAAGTGGTCTTTAATATCATTTAGATCTTATCCCCATTGATGTCACTTTTCAGGCCTTAAATACACGATCTTCATGCGACTAGAGTTATGTGGTTTACAAAAACGGATGAAGTAACAATGTTTTTATTGCCTACCGTCAATATAATTAATGTGGTTTTTGTTATGATTGTCTTAATGATTTGCTAGCTATAAGTTTTAAGCTGTAGCTCCATTAAAAATGCACTTTAAAATTTTTATAATAGCCCAACTTTGCCAGAAACTAATTTCTATTCAAAGTAGAGCGGTAAGTAAAAGTTGTGTGTTGCCCGCACCATTTTTTATTTTGTTTCAAATAAAACGAGAACTTTAGTGTTAGAGCTCTACTTTCCATTCATTTTAAGAAATGTTTTTTTTGTTTGCTTTAAACATTTTACTATTAATTTTCTTAATGTTTTAGGTATGGATGAAGATGAAGAAGAAGTTGTTCCTTTGCCAAATGTTAATTCTGCTATTTTAAAGAAAGTAATTCAATGGGCTACATACCATAAGGATGATCCACCACCACCTGAAGATGATGAAAATAAGGAAAAGAGAACAGATGACATCTCATCTTGGGATGCAGACTTTTTGAAAGTTGATCAAGGAACTCTTTTTGAGTTGATTTTGGTAAGATGACATACTTGACTTGTATTTAAAACATTAAATTCTATTGAAAGGAAAAGTATGGCCCAAAGTGACATTAAAAAAAGGTAATGTATATTATTTTTGGCGCTACGCTCATATAATAACTTAGGTTCCTCTCTTATTATTCTACACTCTCTTCTGTCCCGACCAAGCATTCTCCATATCCGGCTTCCCATCCTTTTCAGAATGTCCCGCCATCCCAGGTGTGGTTTTCCTCTGCCAAGTCTTCCAGATCGCTCCTTGAAATTGAATTTCTGGGCATATGAAAACCCAACCATTTGATTTGCATAGATCTCTCGCAGCTCTTAATTGGTGCGACATCTTCACTGCCCATGTTCACACACCGGACTGTTAATCCGGTGGAAAACCCTTATCTCCCACGCGAGTAGCTCCCTTTCTGAGGTCTTAAAGATTATGCAATTCTCTCTATAAAAGAGGACTATATAAGTATTTAAGACGGGTTGACGATGGTTCTTATGATTCTTGTACACTTTGATTTTTGTTCTATGATAAAGGGAGCTAGCAATTTTCTCATGGCGAACAGCAGCCATTCTTGCTTTCAATTCTTCCGTCATTTCATGACTTACTGTAATTAGAGTATCTAAATACTTATAGGTTTCTACCATTTTCAGAGCGTGGTTATCTAATAATGCGACATATTCCTCTGTTCCATTCTTAATTCTTTGCATATAAGCAGTTTTCTTCTCATTTATTTGTTGCCCTGATTCTTTTGCTGTTTAAAATTCTTGGTACTTGTGACTTAGCTGGTCTCCATGGAACCTATGTTCTTCCAACGTATAACCTCTTATTGCTTGTCTCTCCTTAGTTACTTGTGCGTTCTATACAGATAAACTAAAAAAATTGGATACCAGCTCCCAGGAGCCAACGTCACTGTTTGTATCACTATTTGTTAAGCTCATATTTCTTACCTCCTCGTGTTGTGACCGTTCCACCATCGTTGGCGGTGAAATTCGCTCAACCTTTGTCTTGTTTTTTGTCTTCAGCTCTGTTGTCTCAAAAAACACTTTTGCTAGACAAATAAATGAGTGTTTATACTAAATTAACACTTTTTAGAAGAGACAAAAGCAAATTAACCTTTATTGTTATTTAACATCAACAGCTGTCTGTATATAATAATAAATTTGATAAATTCACAATTTCGGAGTCATGTCCAAAAAACTGAAAAAAAAAAAAAAAATTCGGACATTTTATGTTTTTGTGTATATCTCGATACGCAATGGAACATATCGTTTGGGAACGTCAAATTTAGATCAGTATCCCCAAAAAACATAAAAACCGAAGAGGAACTGACTATTTTAATTTTTCTTCGACCAAGTACCATCTGACTGCCCTAATGTGATGACTTCGACGTCGTCGGTCAAGGTGTTTTCTTTTAGGAACATATTCTTTACGTCATATCAAAATTTCAGCCGTCAGTTCTTCCGTTAAATGAACCGTCAAATTTCGCTTCTTAAATTTAAATTTTCATATAGATAGCAAGTATTCAACTGACTGAACGAAGTTGTGTGTTCAGATGAGGTTTATCTACAATTTAAAATGGTTACTAGCTATAAGTCCTTCAAAATAAATTGAAACTACAAATCATTATTAATTTCACACATTAATTATTAATACTGAAAATACAATTGAAAAATCATGACCTAGGTCGATATTGCAATAGTCTCAGGAAGTGATACGCCCAATGCAGGCTATGTATGATGCCAATAGTGGTCGTTTTTGGGAGTTTTTTTTTTATATTAAGTTTTGAACTTTGCAGCAACCATAAGTTTAGTTTAGAGATATCCAGTTGTCGATTGGTAGTGTTGTTGAAAACTTCGATTTTACAGATAGTTCAGGAACGGTTGAGTTGATTTCCTACTGATTTTTAACTGTTAATATTGGGGAACGATAGATATCTTTATATTATTTAAATTATATTTTTATTTAAAGCATCTGACAACGGTTGTAGCAGTTCATTGGTTGGCAACCACCTGTTCGTCCTGGAGAAGATATCAAGCCGCTAAAATACAAAATGGTGGCCATGTGAAGATAGAAGAGAGCTTATAGATATATAAAGCTACCAACACTTTCAATTTATATTATTTACAGTCTTAAGACCTGAAATCGAAGTCAGTTACCCATACTCGCAGATTTCAAGTCGAAAAATTGAATCTACGATTACAAAAGTTTACTTTTATCGCTTTTTCGCTTATATCAGTAAAACTATGCGTTATATCTATAATAGTGTGATATGTGAAATTAAAGCTGACAAAATTTGTAGTAGAAATGGTTATATTAGTTTATTCGTTATATTCTATAATTGCCGTGATATCCGTTCATCCTCATAATTCACTAATTTCGAAGAAAAACAAATTTGCTTAAAGTATTAGTAAATAGGCGAAAAAAATAAATTACTTAAGGTCAGTTTTCTAAAATAAAAAAAAAAAAAAATCCTAATCATGTTTCAAAAATGCTTCCTCTGGACTTTTTTTCTGGAACAGTCTTTTTTTTACTCTAATCTTTCAATTTTCAATCATGTATGATAAATTAAAGTTATAAATTGTATATATATATATATATATATATATATATATATATATAGTTATACACTAATTAGTTATAAACTATATATTTTTAACATTTTTGTCCCTCGACATATTGGTCAGGGAAAACTTTCATTAAACATGGAAAAGTCAGGGAATTTTACTCTGACAATGTGGTAGCCACCCTGAAAGAAGTTTGAGATTCTTCTGGTATTAATCCATTATTACATGAAATTACTAATGGTAAAACCCGGCTTTCCTTCAAATCATACAGTTATTTCAATTCTTCTGCCAATTCTACATATTTTCTTTTTTTCCCCCGCCACTACTTTGTGCAGATTATCATCTGAAGGAACTCCAATTTCTATAATGGACGCTATTTTCTGTTCTTCATCGATTATTAGAATGTCAGGCCTATTATGTGGGACAGTGTGATCTGTAAGTATAGGGTGATCCCAGAATAGTTTGACATTACGCTTGGAGATAATTGATTCAGGATGATATTTGTAATACGGACGATAGTTATCCCTCAGTTCCAGCTTCTGAGCCATGGCTTAATGTACTACTTTAGCTGCTGCATTGTTATGCCTCAGTAAATATTCTTTACCCACCATTATTGTGTATCCAGAAGTTAGATGCTGAATCGACTCCTGATTTTTTGCAAAGGCGGCATAATCATTTATATTTTCTCCACAAATATGCTTTCTATACGCCCTTGTGGCTATTACCTGCTCTTGGATAGCTTGCAGGAATCCTTCGGTTTCTGGAAAAATATTGCCGCTTTTAAGCCATGTTAACGATGCCTGAGTGTCTATTCCTATCCCTGTTAGTGAATGGTAAAATCACCCATGGAGTGGTTTATCTTTCCATTTATCTATTAATGTAGCATAGCCTGCATCAATATTCGCGGTCGCACCTTTTAATAGATTTAGAGCTGTGTAATTGGCATCTAGTGATGCAATAGTTGAAAGAATGCTAGAGGTATGATGTCGAATGTAAACCCTAAGGTTATTTTCTTCTTCCTGATATAGCTTCAAGAGGCTGATGAGACCACGCCCTCTCTTGTTCCGAGGACGATATAATCTCGCCACTGATGATTTTGGATGCCTTTTCCTTGATAGCACCATTTGTACCCTAAGAAAGCGATCTAGCCTTTCTAAATCAGTTTTAGACCATTTTAGTACGTACTCCAAATGGGTAAGCTAAAGCTGGTACTGCCCAAGTATTTAATGCTCTGATTAAATTCCTTCCATTTAAATGGGATTTAAGTAGTAATTTGATTATTTTCTCAAATTCGGTCTCAAAGGATTTCTTGGAATTGCTCTTAAATTTCAGAAGTTGATGCATTCCTAGGTACACTGATAGGCAAAAAATTCCACCCACTTGATTTTTTCATGTTTTCATCTAAAAATATTTCTGCTTTGGATTGGTCTATTGTTATTAATGAATAAACAGGTAATCTTTTTGTTTGTTTTCAATTAGGAATGTTAATATAGAGGACAATAACCTTAATCCTTAATTCAATGAAATGATTCTAGATTCCAATGTTTACTTTCTATTGAATCAAAATGTTTATTCAGTATCATTAGTTCAGTGCCGTTTCTTGCAGCACATTTCTTACTCTCCGGCTTTTAATTTTTTCAATATTAAGTTTAAAAATGCCTCTTGGTGCTGAGGATGTTGCGCGTGATTTGGCACTTATTGATGATGGACGTTCCATAGTCGATGGAGGTCCTGCAATGTATCAGGAAGTGTTGCACGCGCTCTTATTCGTCTTCCGAGGTTATCCCATAAATGCTCAATGGGATTCAAATCTGGAGAACGTGCTGGCTAGGCTAAAACCTCAATATTGTTCTGTTCAAGGAACGTCTGCACTATGCGGGTGACATGTGTGTGTGCATTAGAATAGAACGATCGCCGATTTCGTTGAGGATAGGCAACACATGAGGTTCCAAAATCTCATCTACATAGCGAATGGCCGTCAAAGACCCTCCACGAACAACAACTAACTTTGTGCGGCGCTCCATTGAAATCCCAGCCCACACCATTAAGGAACCACGTTGGAAAGGTTGGCTCTGGGAAAAATTACAGGCTGCATATCTTTCGTTTCTTCTTCACACCCTTTCATGCCCATCTGGAGATCGAAGAGCGAATCTTGACTCATCTGTAAAAAGTACAGCTCTCCATTCATCCATAGTCCAATGGCTGTGTTCTCGAGTAAAAGCCAGCCGTGTTATTCTGTGGGTTCTGGTCTCCGGCTTTTAATTTTTTCAATATTAAGTTTAAAAATGCCTCTTAGTGCTGAGGATGTTGCGCGTGGTGTGGCACTTATTGATGATGGACGTTCCATATGAAACTTTACGAGACTCTGTCAGGCGTTTTCGGGAAACTGGTTCTTACAATAGAAGGCCCGGTTCTGGACGGCCTAGGGTAATAGAACCACGGGATTACCGGTTTTGACTTTGACAATTTTACGAAGCTGCCACCTTACCATTGTTCAAGCGATTTATCAGCTCGAAGAAGTTCGAGGTGAGAATTTTACGAAGCCGGCACCTTACCATTGTTTAAGCGATTTATCAGCTCGAAGAAGTTCGAGATGAGAATTTTACGAAGCCGGCACTTTACCATTGTTCAAGCGATTTATCAGCTCGATGAAGTTCGAGGTGTGTAAATTTCTGAACTTACCGCTCGGAGAAGATTAAATGAGTATGGATTAATGGCTTTTCGTCCAGTAAGAGGACCAGAGTTGACCAGAACTCACAGAGTAACACGGCTGGCTTTTGCTCGAGAACACAGCCATTGGACTACGGACGAATGGAGTGCTGTACTTATTACAGATGAGTCAAGATTCGCTCTTCGATCTCCAGACAGGCGTGAAAGGGTGTGGAGAAGAAGAAACGAAAGATATGCAGACTCTAATTTTTCCCAGAGCCAGCCAACCTTTCCAATGTGGTTCCTTAATGGTGTGGGCTGGGATTTCAATGGAGCGCCGCACAAAATTGGTTGTTCGTGGAGGGTCTTTGACGGCTATTCGCTATGTAGATGAGATTTTGGAACCTCATGTATTTCCTATCCTCAACGAAATCGGCGATCGTTCTATTCTGATGCACACACACATGTTACCCGCATAGTGCAAACGTTCCTTGAACAGAACAATATTGAGGTTTTAGCCTGGCCAGCACGTTCTCCAGATTTAAACCCCATTGAGCATTTATGGGATAACCTCGGAAGACGAATAAGAGCGCATGCAATACTTCCTGATACACTGCAGGACCTTGAAAGGCTCTTCGGGAGGAATGGGCTATCCTCCAGCAAAGATATACTAAGAGGCATTTTTAAACTTAATATTGAAAAAATTAAAAACCGGAGACTAAGAAATGTGCTGCAAGAAACGGCACTGAACCAATGATACTGAATTAACATTTTGATTCCATAGAAAGTAAACATTTATCTAACCCCAGATCCATTCCTATGTCAGTGCTGAACGCCTCTACTATTTTTAAAAGAGCTCTCATTTCATCATCATTTCTTGCATAAAGCTTGAGATCATCCATGTAGAACGAATGGGAGAGCTTCGTTTCAGAATTGAGGTGGTATCCCTGTCCTGTATCTTCCAGTAGTTTACTAAGTGGATTGAGCGCCTAACAGAACCAAAGAGGACTAAGGGAGTCACCTTGAAAAATACCCCTTTTTATAGGTATATATTCATTAGTACTTAATCCATTCCAATTTGGTGTGCAGAGTGATACCATCCTAATTCGTATTAAACGTTTTAACAAATCTATTATTGTCTGGTCCACTTTATAGATCTTCAGAACTTCTAAAAGCCAATCATGTGGAACTGAATCGAATGCTTTACGGTAATCAACCCAAGATAAAGCAATATTGCGAGTTCTTTGTGAAACTTGAGCTGCAATAAACGAATCTATCAACAGAAGTTTTTTGCATCCTCTTGAACCTGGTTTATTACCTAGCTGTTCCACTGACAGGATGGCATTTTCTTAAATGTAGTCAGTCAACTCGTTTCTGATGACAGACGTTAATAGCTTGTACACGCCATTTAAACACGTTATAGGTCTCAAATCCTTTGTCTCCAATTTTTCCTTATTTGATTTTCTTATTAAATAAGTCATGCCTGTGCAGAAATTTGCAGGAAGGTCTACCTCTTCAGATATTAGTTTTTGATACCATGAAGCCAGATGATTGTGAATACTGCTGAAATACTGCAGCCAGTAATTTTGTATTTTGTCTGGCCCAGAAGCTTTCCAGTTTTTCGTTTGTTTAAGTGACTTTGCTACATCTTGCACAGTAATATTGGTTGTTTCCATAGGTTGGAGGTTTGATTGACTATAGCGAATATTTTCCAACCAATATGCATCGCTATTGTAACATTTTTTCCTTTCCCAAATTTTTTCTTTCCAATATTCTGATATTTCTAAATGATCTGGGTAGACATCTTTTTTAGCATTCTCTTTAGGTTTTATAATCTTATAAAAACATTTTTCTCTAGTACCAAATATATGATTTTGTCTTCTTCTATTTTGAGCTTCAGTATACCTCCTGATCTTGTTCGCGTACACTGCTAACTTCTGTTTAAGAGTTTCCATATAAACAACAAGAGTTTGGTTTGACATATTGCTTGTTACACTACACCTCCAATGTTGAGTACTATAATTTCATTAATTTTTTTCCATGATTTTGAAGAAGCATTCTGAGGGTTTCGAAGATAGTTAGTGATGATTCCAATTTTACAGCGTAGACCCTCAATCTTTTTCTTGATTCTCCTTTTCCAGGGAGGATCTTCGCATTTATTAACTTTATCACAATGCTCCTTTTCTTTTATTAATCCTAGCTCCATTGTTACTGTTCGAGCTCCCATGTATACCTAATGGCATATCTCTTATAAAGTTATACCATCTGACATATGCTCAGCAACTATTTCATTGATGGATCTGACAATGCTTAACGTTCTTTTTGAGTATGGTACCTTAGGTATTGTGGGTCTGCTATTTAAGGGTACTCCATCATAAAGCATATGCTCTTTTAACATTTTGCTACGTAATTCTGTGCTTTGTGGAGTTTCTTGCTTGTTCATAAAAGTCGTGTCAAACTGCGTATTCGCAGAAGCAGGTTCTATATTTTCTACTTGTTCTATTTCTCTTTGCGAATTCTGGTCCAGTATATTGCCTACTTCCGTTTTGATTGCCATAATTTCTGACTCTGAAAAAAAACTTTTGATCCAATATTTGCTTTACCTGGTCAGCGAGTCTTTGGAATGAAACCGCTATTTGCGGGTATTGTTCATTCCAGAAACGGTTGATTCTTCTGCAGTATCCAGTTTTTTCTTTTTCTAAGGTTGTAGCCAATAAGTAAGCTCTGATTGCGGCAATGTTCATATTGCGGTCCCACTTCATCCTTCTTTGCCTACCTACTTAAATATACCTGATATCCTGCAAAGCCCTTAAAGACTGGAAAAGATCGTGCGGTGGAATAGATGTTCAAATCAGGAATGATATCATCTATAATTCTGCACCTTTCTTTTTCCTTCTGTTTTCTTTCTTCCTCCTTTAATCTTTTTTCTTCCTCTTTCTGCTTTCTTTCTTCTTCTTTAAGTCTTTTCTCTTCTTCCTTAATTTTCAGTTCTGCTTGTATTTTTTTTTCTTTTTCTTCTCTTTCTTTTCGCTTCAAATCTTCTTTTTCTTGTTTTAATTTAAGTTTTTCTTCTATATGATGAGGAAGTAGCTAGACGCGTATTCCATATGGGGTCTGAAAATCAGTAAAAGTAACACAGAGTGATGGTTTTCAAATTTATCCCTTGAAATTGGACGCTCTATATCAGCCAATAGTTTAAGTATCTCGGATACTGGCTATCTTCAAAGGGAGGTAGTGAGGTTGACATCAAACATAAAATAAATAATGGAAAAAGAATAAAAAATTCGATAAATTCAACCCTATGGAGTAAGGAAATAAGATGAAAACGTTTGGACAATTACAAAAAAGGCAGAAAATAGGTTACTTTTCATGGAAATTGATTTTGGAGAAGAAGATATCCTGTGGCATATCTAGGATCAAGCGGATCCCAAACGCATCAATTAGAGACAAGGTCGGATATCAAAAGAACATCCTTCACCTTATCGGGACCAAAAGGTTTAAGTGGTATGGCCACTTAATGCGGATCGATGAGAACCGCTGGCCAAAGAAGAAATGGATAGAGGATGTGAAGGAATAGATGGCAACCTAAGGGTTCTGTGGAAGGGATTGGATGGACAGAGAGCAGTGGCCTTTTGGGTATTGGGGATATGACTCATTAAGCTGTGGAACCCAAATAAAAAAATAAATAAACAAAAGAAAAGAAATCAATTGAATAGAACAAATTTCTGATGTTTTATTTTTTCTAAAGCACTTTATATTGTACAACAATCTTTTTTGTTTCATAGAGATTTAGGGCTTAAAACATCATGGACATTAATACCAAATGTTTTTTATAATCTAAAAATTAGAAAAGGATGAAAAAAAAAGAATAATAAATATATGAATTAAAAAAAATGAAATAGAAAGGTACAATAAAGAAATATTTTATTGAGTCAACTTTTAAGACGACTGAGAAAAATTAAAAGATATATTTATTGGAGTTTCCTGAAAAATTAAAAGATATATTTATTGGAGTTTCCTAACTATTTTGTTAATTTCAATTGGAAATAATTATAAATTAGTTATAGGCCCGTGTGAATCATTCGCATAGGACATTGGTCCGTGAACGACAAAACAATAAGGAAATTTAAAAAATCAATGTATCGTGAGATAAAGCAATCTTTTCCTTTTTTTTCGGCAATTTTAATCGACCAAGAAAAAGAAAATTATTATAAAACTTCATTCTTGTTTTAAACCAAAATATTTATGAATTATATTAACATGTATCTCAGCTAATAATTTTGTTTTATAGGTAATTTAGTAATCTTTCAAATAATCATGGGTACAATAACAAATAATATATACTTTTTGAATTATTCTCAATTAAAGTTTCATTTATTTTATCATTTTTCTTTTGGAAATTTCGGGTGGATACAACTATTTTTGCCATCTGAAGGAGAAGAAGAACCTCAAAATGTGAGCTCATTTTTATGAAGGATTGACAAAGATATGGCGTACCGATATTAAACACCTTTGAGAAATAATATAGTTATAAAGATTAAAATTTTGAATGTTTTTAATTTGTTGTAAATCGTTGCAACAGTTATAACATGTCCAGTGATGATCAAATACTTCAGTAATAAGTAGTGTCACAGTTAACAAAAAGGTTAAATGACAGCATTTTGAAAATAACAGGTGTTGTGATTAGATTAGATTGATTATTTTTTTTGGGAGATATCGATAAAAGGGAGATATTGCTCGACACGGTTTACTCTTTGCTTGAACGAGCGTAGGACTTTCTTCGATTTCTGGACCAGTCATACCAATTTCACCACCTTCTTCATTCCAAACTGCTCGAAACCGCAGAAGAGTTTCATAAAGGCTGCCTGTACTGACTTCAGTTGTGCCATTGCTGATCCAAACACAACCCAAAAGGCGAGGTTTTAGTCTTTCAGTTTTACTTCTCATTTCTTCGTCAAACTCCTGTTTCAACAACTTCATTCGTAGTTTCAAATTTTCAGGGTCATTTTCATCAACTTCCTCGTCGGGGTGCACTTCTTCATCACTTAGATATCCGTGAGGGACAAAAGTATTATCTAATAAATAACCATTTTCACCACTATTTTGGTTTTCTTCTCCTTCTCCTTCGTCTTCCCATTCTGAATCTGAGTCAACTTCATAATCGAAAGTTTTCTTATCTAGACCAAGAGGTTTTCGAGGTCCCACAAAACTACTTTTTTTCCTCCAAGTACCCCAGTAAGGAGGGCGACGATTATCATGAAATTGCAGCAGCTTAGCTTTCATTTTCTTTTTGTTATTGATCACTTTTGTATTAGTTAAATCAATACATTCGCCATCAGCTGTAGATTCAATTATAATAACATCATGCTCCTCTTCCTGAGATACAACGGGCCAAGTAGCTTCTGTTTGTTGTGGCAGATGCGCACCAGTTTTGGGCTCCTTCAAATATAAATCTTGACATTTTTCAATCGTGCCTGAAAGTGTGTTATATAAATTTGCTTTCTCTTCACCGTTAATCACCCGACAGGAATTCACAGCAAGCTTCATATCAGCGTTCATTGGAAATGGGATAAATTTTATTTCCTCACTTACTTTTGGTTTATCTGTAGCGTCAGGTTGCTGTTTTTTCTTAGCGATAAAAAAATTGACGAAAGCTGCTTTTTCTTTCTCAGTCATTCCTTATTTTTTCTTTTTTTCTTCTTCTTTGGCTTCTTCTTTTCTGCACCTTTCTTTATTCCTCTTTTAATCTTTTTTCTTTCTCTTTCTGCTTTCTTTCTTCTTCATCAAGTCTTTTCTCTTCATCCTTAATTTTCAGTTCCGCTTGTCTTATTTTTTCTTTTTCTTGTTTTAATTTAAGATTTTCTTCCTTTGCTTTAGTTCTCAAAGAAAGCAGAAAGAGGAGAAAAAAGATAAAAGGAGGAAGAAAAAAAAAAACAAGGAAGAAGAAAGGTGCAGAAAAGAAGAAGCCAAAGAAGAAGAAAAAAAGAAAAAATAAGGAATGACTGAGAAAGAAAAAGCAGCTTTCGTCAATTTTTTTATCGCTAAGAAAAAACAGCAACCTGACGCTACAGATAAACCAAAAGTAAGTGAGGAAATAAAATTTATCCCATTTCCAATGAACGCTGATATGAAGCTTGCTGTGAATTCCTGTCGGGTGATTAACGGTGAAGAGAAAGCAAATTTATATAACACACTTTCAGGCACGATTGAAAAATGTCAAGATTTATATTTGAAGGAGCCCAAAACTGGTGCGCATCTGCCACAACAAACAGAAGCTACTTGGCCCGTTGTATCTCAGGAAGAGGAGCATGATGTTATTATAATTGAATCTACAGCTGATGGCGAATGTATTGATTTAACTAATACAAAAGTGATCAATAACAAAAAGAAAATGAAAGCTAAGCTGCTGCAATTTCATGATAATCGTCGCCCTCCTTACTGGGGTACTTGGAGGAAAAAAAGTAGTTTTGTGGGACCTCGAAAACCTCTTGGTCTAGATAAGAAAACTTTCGATTATGAAGTTGATTCAGATTCAGAATGGGAAGACGAAGGAGAAGGAGAAGAAAACCAAAATAGTGGTGAAAATGGTTATTTATTAGATAATACTTTTGTCCCTCACGGATATCTAAGTGATGAAGAAGTGCACCCCGACGAGGAAGTTGATGAAAATGACCCTGAAAATTTGAAACTACGAATGAAGTTGTTGAAACAGGAGTTTGACGAAGAAATGAGAAGTAAAACTGAAAGACTAAAACCTCGCCTTTTGGGTTGTGTTTGGATCAGCAATGGCACAACTGAAGTCAGTACAGGCAGCCTTTATGAAACTCTTCTGCGGTTTCGAGCAGTTTGGAATGAAGAAGGTGGTGAAATTGGTATGACTGGTCCAGAAATCGAAGAAAGTCCTACGCTCGTTCAAGCAAAGAGTAAACCGTGTCGAGCAATATCTCCCTTTTATCGATATCTCCCAAAAAAAATAATCAATCTAATCTAATCACAACACCTGTTATTTTCAAAATGCTGTCATTTAACCTTTTTGTTAACTGTGACACTACTTATTACTGAAGTATTTGATCATCACTGGACATGTTATAACTGTTGCAACGATTTACAACAAATTAAAAACATTCAAAATTTTAATCTTTATAACTATATTATTTCTCAAAGGTGTTTAATATCGGTACGCCATATCTTTGTCAATCCTTCATAAAAATGAGCTCACATTTTGAGGTTCTTCTTCTCCTTCAGATGGCAAAAATAGTTGTATCCACCCGAAATTTCCAAAAGAAAAATGATAAAATAAATGAAACTTTAATTGAGAATAATTCAAAAAGTATATATTATTTGTTATTGTACCCATGATTATTTGAAAGATTACTAAATTACCTATAAAACAAAATTATTAGCTGAGATACATGTTAATATAATTCATAAATATTTTGGTTTAAAACAAGAATGAAGTTTTATAATAATTTTCTTTTTCTTGGTCGATTAAAATTGCCGAAAAAAAAGGAAAAGATTGCTTTATCTCACGATACATTGATTTTTTAAATTTCCTTATTGTTTTGTCGTTCACGGACCAATGTCCTATGCGAATGATTCACACGGGCCTATAACTAATTTATAATTATTTCCAATTGAAATTAACAAAATAGTTAGGAAACTCCAATAAATATAGCATTTCCAAGTCAATTTCAACCTTTTCCAAATCAAATTCAACCTTTTCCAAGTCAAATTCAACCATTTCCATTTCAAATTAAACCTTTTCCAATTCAAATTCAACCGTTTTCATTTCAAATTAATGTTTTAATTTTTTGTAAATTTTATATATTTTTTTAAAATAATGGCCATCCCCTCTCCCCCTCCAATATGCAAGTCTATTATTATGATCTCCTAAGTAGAATTTTCACTTACGGATATCGATTTATTGTACCTATTCGGATTTATTAGGGACTAGTATTATGCTGTCCTGTACCTAGATTTGAAAATAACCTCCATTTTAAGATTAAGTGACTGCGTTTCGAATCATTTAAGTTTTTTTGACTTATTCGATATAAGGGTGTATTTTTATGTTTCCCGATCAGTAAATTTTGAAAATGAGATCCATTTTATGTTTACGCCACTATGTTTTGACTTATTTAAGTTTTTAGAATTTATCCAATATAAAGGTCTACTTTTATGTTTCTGGAGCCGTAGATTTTGAAAACGACCTCCATTTTAAGATTAGGCCACTATGTTTTGACTTATTTAAGTTTTTAGAATTTATCCAATATAAAGGTCTACTTTTATGTTTCTGGAGCCGTAGATTTTGAAAACGACCTCCAAGTCAAAATGCAATGGCGTAATCATGGAATGGATGTTATTTTCAAAATCTACGGCTCAAGAAACATAAAAGAAGACCCTTACATCGAATAAATCAAAAAAACTTAAATAAGTCGAAACGCAGTGGCGTAATCTTAAAATGGAGGTCATTTTCAATATCTACAGCTCCGGAAACATAAAAATACACCCCTAACATCGAATAAAAAAAAAAAAAATTAAATAAGTCGAAACACAGTGGCGTAATCTTAAAATGGAGGTCATTTTCAAAATCTACAGCTCCGGAAACATAAAAATACACCCTCATATGAAAAATCCGAAAAACTCAAATAAGTCGAAACGCGGTGGCCTAATCTTAAAATGGAGGTCATTTTCAAAATCTACAGCTCCGGAAACTTAAAAGTACACCCTCATATGAAAAATATCCGAAAAACTCAAATAAGTCGAAACGCGGTGGCCTAATCTTAAAATGGAGGTCATTTTCAAAATCTACGGCTCCAGAAACATAAAAGTAGACCTTTATATTGGATAAATTCTAAAAACTTAAATCAGTCAAAACATAGTGGCCTAATCTTAAAAATGAGGTCGTTTTCAAAATCTACGGCTCCAGAAACATAAAAGTAGACCTTTATATTGGATAAATTCTAAAAACTTAAATAAGTCAAAACATAGTGGCCTAATCTTAAAAAGGAGGTCGTTTTCAAAATCTACGGCTCCAGAAACATAAAAGTAGACCTTTATATTGGATAAATTCTAAAAACTTAAATAAATCAAAACACAGTGGCGTAAATATAAAATGGATGTCATTTTCAAAATTTACTGATCGGGAAACATAAAAATACACTCTTATATCGAATAATTCAAAAAAACTTAAATAATTCGAAACTCAGTCACATAATTTTAAAAAGGAGGTTATTTTCAAAAACTACTCGTACGATAACAGTCCCACACATGGAAAAATTAAAGATAATTAAATAAATAAAAAAAGGTTGAATTTGAAATGGAAAAGGTTTAATTTGAAATGGAAAAGGTTGAATTTGACTTGGAAAAAGTTTAATTTGATTTGGAAAAGGTTGAATTTGACTTGGAAATGCTATATATCTTTTAATTTTTCTCAGTCGTCTTAAAAGTTGATTCAATAAAATATTTCTTTATTGTACCTTTCTATTTCATTTTTTTTAATTCATATATTTATTATTCTTTTTTTTTCTTCCTTTTCTAATTTTTAGATTATAAAAAACATTTGGCATTAATGTCCATGTAAAACATCCCCAATACCCAAAAGGCCACTGCTCTCTGTCCATCCAATCCCTTCCACAGAGCCCTTAGGTTGCCATCTATTCCTTCACATCCTCTATCCATTTCTTCTTTGGCCAGCGGTTCTCATCCATCCGCATTAAGTGGCCATACCACTTAAACCTTTTGGTCCCGATGAGGTGAAGGATGTTCTTTTGATATCCGACCTTGTCTCTAATTGATGCGTTTGGGATCCGCTTGATCCTAGATATGCCACAGGATATCTTCTTCTCCAAAATCAATTTCCATGAAAAGTAACCAATTTTTTTATATGGAAACTCTTAAACAGAAGTTAGCAGTGTACGCGAACAAGATCAGGAGGTATACTGAAGCTCAAAATAGAAGAAGACATCATATAGTTCACATCATCCGGACCCGATGCGATTATGACTTGATCATCGGCATACTGCAAATTATAGATGATATCATTCCATCAGAATTTTCAATTCTGTTTTTAATCATTCGGCTGTATAATCTACTCAGTGAGCTGGTAACCGTAATACCTCTGTAATTGGAAAGATCTTTCTTTTGGAATTTTTTTGAAAACTGGTGATATAACCCTGCTTCCTCTCCACCATTTAACAAAAGTGTCATACTCTGCCAGTGCCATTTTGAGTTCGATCGGGCCTGCTTTAATTAATTTTATTGGAATAGAACGGGGGCCGGGAGATTTTCTATTTTTCATCCCAGAGCTGGATCCAGTTCTATAACAGTTACTGGTGGTATATCTTCCTTATTAGATATTTTGTTCGATTGGCTCCATGCGAAAATTCGGGTCACTCTTCATGAGAGAAGTTAAATATGAAATAATTCTTCAAAGTTACTTCACCCATAATTTTATAATTCTAATTCTTCACCCATTGCTGCTCCTTGATCAATGGGAAGTTATCTCCACATCTTTTGGGATTTTTCAATTTTTTTAATGTCCTCCAAGCGGCACTAGACTTTTGTCCATCAATGTAAGTGTCCACATACGTGCAGGTTTTCTCTCAATAGATATTTAATGCCTCCCTTCTTATAGATTTTACTTTTTTACAGGCATTTCTATATACCCTCAGGTCCTTCTCGTTTTTAGAGTTCAAACATTTATTGTGCAAACATTTTTTCTCTAGAACAGCCACTTCAACAGCCTCATTCTACCAAGGTTTGTTTTTTCCTTAAACTTCTTCTCTCCTTTCCTCTCTGACAGCTTCTAAAGCTGCGGCATGTAGACACTACTATATTCTCATAATTCAATTTCTCCATCAGTCTGCTTTGGAACAGTCCTTTTACTGATTTTTGATTTGTCATACTCTCAATTGAGTATCAATTTGTTTTCTGAGAGTCTGAATTTCCTCTGGTCACTTGAGAATTTCTAAGATTATGAGATTTCAAATTCAGTATACTCTTTAAGAGAAAGTGATCCGAACCACATTCGGCCCCTCTCATCACTCTAACATCGTTCATCTTTATCCTAGTGGTGCATCTGAGTATTATGTAATTTATGATTGATTTTAGGCCTTTAGTGGGCTGATGCCAGGAGAATTTCTGAATTTCTTTCTTTTTTTTTTTTTATTTTTTTATTTGGGTTTTATACAACTTAAGGAGTCATATCCGTAACACCCAAAAGCCACTGCTCCCTGTCCATCCAATCTTCCTCACGAAGCCCTCTGGCTGCCATGCTTTCCTCCACGTCCTCTATCCATTTCTTCTTTGGCCTTCCACGCTTCCTTCTTTCTGGTGGCATATAGTTATAAATTTTCTTTGGCCAGCGGTTCTCATCCATCCGCATTAAGTGGCCATACCACTTTAACCGTTTGGTCCCGATCAGGTGAAGGATGTTCTTTTGACATCCGACCTTGTCTCTAATAGCTATGTTTGGGATCCGCTCGATTCTTGATATGCCACAGCTTCTTCTCCAGAAATCCATTTCCATGGAAAGCAACTTATTTTCCATCTTTTTTGTCAGTGTCCAGACTTCTGATCCGTAAGTGGCTACGCTTTCTACAAAGGAATGGTATATCTTCTTTTTAGTTTCTAATCTTATTTCTTTACTCCATAGGGTTGAATTTATCGAACTTATTATTCTTTTCCCATTATTTATCTTATGTTCGATATCAACCTCACTACCACCCTTTGAAGATAACCAGTATCCGAGGTACTTGAACTGCTGGCTGACATTTAGCGTCCAGTCATCAATTTCAAGGGGCAAATTTGGAGCGTTGAAAACCACATACTCTGTTTTACTTTCACTGATTTTCAGACCCCATCTGGAATACGTGTCTAGCAACTTCCTCATCATATAGTTAACATCATCCG